TTTTTTGATAATCAAATAAATCAAGAGTACTGATGTGCCAGTTTTATTTTAAAATTTTCCAGTGATTAATTTATCAGCCAACTAATTTTTACTACTATATATAATACATTAATACTATCCATTATTTTTTAAGATTTTTTCTTTCTTCTTCTTATACTATTTGTTGTCCATTTTACATTTTACAGTACATATTGATATCGATTAGTTTCTAGCTCCTTTATGTAGTTATCAAAGTATAAGAAATATTTATATTTGTCGTCAGTCCACAAAAAAAGTTTAAGTACATATATGGTAGTTTCTCTAAAGTAAGAAATGAATATAATTTTATTTGGTAAACTTTGGTAAGTGCAAGTAAAAAAAACAAAAGAAAAATACTACTTGTACAAAGAAAAAAAAATATATATATATATATATATATATATATATTTTCTTATAACTTACACGAATTGAAAATTGAAAAGTTTTGTTCTTGTTAATGTTTTTATAACTTACTTTTAATTAGCGTGTGACACTTTTCTCTAATTTGTTTTTTTTTTCATTCAACAACGTAATAAAAACAGCAATTTAAAAACCCAAAAAAAAACAGCAAAATTACCCTTTTTATCCTTCAAATAAAATAAATAGAAAAACTCAATAAATAAATAAATAAAAATGTAATATTATTTATTTATTATTTGTGATTTGTCTATACATCTTCTTCTCTCCCTTTATATAAAGAAATCACACAAACCTCAAAAAATTCATCAAACCCTTTTCTTCTTCTTCTTCTTCACCACATTTTTTTGTTTTTGTTTTCTTTCTTTCACTCATCACATCATATTGAGATCCTCTCTTCTCTCTTTCTTTCTCCGGCGATGGTGGTTGCTATGGACAAACGTAGCAATGTGAAGGGAGATCCCGGCGCCGGAGGAGACCGGAAGAAAGAAGAAGGGTTTGATCCGAGTGCACAGCCGCCGTTCAAGATCGGTGATATAAGGGCGGCAATACCAAAGCACTGTTGGGTAAAGAGTCCTTTGAGATCAATGAGTTACGTCGTCAGAGACATTTGCGCCGTCGCTGCTCTTGCCGCCGCCGCCGTGTATTTTGACAGCTGGTTCCTTTGGCCTCTTTATTGGGCCGCTCAAGGCACCCTTTTCTGGGCCATCTTCGTCCTCGGCCACGACTGGTATAACTCTTTTTAATCTTTTACGTTACTTCAAATTTAATTAGTGTTTATCAAAATTAATTAATTTTTTCCAACTTCATAGTAATTGTCATTTTTTTTTTCCTTTATAAATTGCCTCGAATTCTTAAATTACTTTTGGAATTTGCAAGTTCGAGGAAGTATTTGTCGCTAACTTTGATAATTGTTCTTTTTTTTTTTTTTTGAGGTTACTTTAAATTAATTTATTATTAAGAAAGAAAAAAAACATAAAAAGAGGATCCAAGATTTCTGTTTTTAGATTTTTTGTTTTTGTTCTGTAACGTTCCACGATGATTTGATTAGTCGTAAGACTCGTAACAAAGGAAAATATCTAAAAAGACTTTTACTATTATTATTTATAAATTCCGCATTTCATGGATCTACTACGTTCGAACTTCCCAATTTATAACTTTTATTTATTTCCTCTAGATCTCCTGCATATCATTCATGAAAATATGGACACATTAATATAAATGTACTTTCAAGATTTATACACGTCATATATATATAGATATAGATATTACTTGAGGTTTGTCTTATTAATTTATGAAAAAAACATAGGAAAATATCAATAATTTTTTTATTGCTTATATATATATATATTGTATATGAATAAATTGATGGATGTGAAAATAAATAAAATGATGATACATTGCAGTGGACATGGGAGTTTCTCAGACATTCCTCTGCTGAATAGTGTGGTTGGTCACATTCTCCATTCCTTCATCCTCGTTCCTTACCATGGTTGGTAAGTTCTTTTATTTTATTTTTTTATTCTACCATTATTTTTATTTTTATTTATGGTGTATTGTTGCATGTTAGATCATATTAATTTGATAGCATTACATTTGTTTTTTTTTTGGGGTATATGTATATTTTGTAAATCGATAATAAATAATGCATGTGACTATGTGATGTGGCTTTTTTATATACTTCCACTCCAAAAAAGCATCAAATCTTCTTTAGTAACCAAAGAAAAAAAGAAAGAAAGAGAGTATCAAAACTTTTAATTAAATGCTGTGGGCCTATTTATGGCCCATTAGCCAACCTGAACTTGAAGTAATTTATGTACCTTTGTCTAATTACTGTTTTTTATTGTTTAGTTTGAGATTCATGTACTCCTAAATGTATTTATCATTGGCTGATATTATTTGATGTATGCATAAATTATACGAAACATTATGGTACAATACGTTTGTTACTTATGTATAGAATAAAAACAAGAATTAATTTGTATTTCTAATGATAAAAACAAGAACTAATTTGTGTGAATTTGTGAATTTGGGATTGTATAGGAGAATAAGCCACCGGACACACCACCAGAACCATGGCCATGTTGAAAACGACGAGTCATGGGTTCCGGTAACCTTTCCCTCTCTCCCTCTTTGTCCTCTTCTCGTTTTTTTTTGTTTTTTTTTTTCTCATGCATAATGCTAACTCCTATAATATAGTTTTAGTTTAGGCAAAGTTGAATCCTAATAACGACCATCAGTTATTAAAATAAAAAAGATTTGCAAGTGTCGTCGTCGTTCAATCAGTAAATTGATTTTTTATTTTATTTTAGTGGGTTATAGCCTTATAGAACCAACTCTGTCTAAGTATATAAACTTTAATAATGGACCACTTATATTCGAATCCTTGGCATAGAATAGAACGATGCTCTCTCGAAAATGCGAATACTTTTCTTTCTCTTTTTGGCGTCTTCGTGATATTTTTTCTTGTCTTGATCTTGAATAAACTATACAAAAACAAAGAAATTTAGAATGCACATGCAATGTATTTTTTTTGATATCACGAGTAAAAAAGCATAATGTAAATTTTTTTATATCTTTATAGTACTAACATTTTAAAATGAACAAACGTTTCAGTTACCAGAAAAGGTGTACAAGAACTTACCCCACAGTACTCGGATGCTGAGATACACTGTCCCTCTCCCCATGCTTGCTTATCCTCTCTATCTGGTAATTTTCCCCATTTATTTTTGTTTCTATAACATTTGTTTGAAGTAATAATGGTATAAGCTAAAAATTGTGGTGGGATTGTTTTGATTTGATCTGATTTTGACAGTGCTACAGAAGTCCTGGGAAAGAAGGGTCACATTTTAACCCATACAGTAGTTTGTTTGCTCCAAGCGAGAGGAAGCTTATTGCAACTTCTACTACTTGTTGGTCCATCATGTTTGTCACCCTCATTGCTCTATCGTTCATCTTCGGTCCAATCTCTGTTCTTAAAGTCTATGGTGTGCCATACATCGTAAGTTATACAACTACAACAACTTCATATTTTATATGAAACATTTTTAGATGTTTAGACATAAATTTGGATTTTGTTTTGTTGTTTTTTTCAGATCTTTGTGATGTGGTTGGACGCTGTCACGTATTTACATCACCATGGTCACGATGAGAAGTTGCCTTGGTACAGAGGCAAGGTAAATATCATTTTTAATCCCTAGAGAAATTTGCAATGTTACTATGATTAATTATTTTTGTTTTGGATTAATAGAGGAGTTGTTTGATTGAATAGGAATGGAGTTATCTACGTGGAGGATTAACAACTATTGATAGAGATTACGGAATCTTCAACAACATTCATCACGACATTGGAACTCACGTGATCCATCACCTATTCCCACAGATCCCTCACTATCACTTGGTTGACGCCGTGAGTGGTCGATTCATTTTCATTATATATTAATATTACTGAAGAGAGATTAAGCTAATCCTTTTGATAAAAAGAGGTGATTAAATTAGTGATTGTTTTGGTGATTAATGACAGACGAAAGCAGCTAAACATGTGTTGGGAAGATACTACAGAGAACCACAGACGTCAGGAGCAATACCGATCCACTTGGTGGAGAGTTTGGTCGCAAGTATTAAGAAAGATCATTACGTCAGTGACTCTGGTGATATTGTCTTCTACGAGACAGATCCAGATCTCTACGTTTACGCTTCTGACAAGTCTAAAATCAATTAAAAATCTTCTTTGTTTAGCTCTCTCTCTTTCTCTCTATTAGGAATAAACCAGCACCTCTCTCTTTTGTTTTTTTTTTTTGTTGTTGTTGTTTTTAAGTTAAAACTTTAAAGTGTACTCGTGAAACTTTTTTTTTTTTTTTTTTAAATGTATTTACATTACAAGACGTAAAGTTTTGTTCTTCCTTTTTTTTTTTTAATTTCCGCTTTTCTGTTTTAGTTAACATCAAAAAGATTTGAATAGTGTTTAGTTTTCAGACAAAAGTAAAGTGAAAAGAAAAAGACAGTTCCACTGAAAGTACGACAAAATGCACGCCGTTTGTGGTCCCTGTCTTAACGACAATGAGTGTCACGGAGTTGTCGCTTTTCTTTATATTTTATTAGGCCTTCACGGCCCAAATATGATTATCAAAAGCCTCTTCAATGCATATATCTTAGTAAAATCTAGTCCTTAACTCATAAACACTAAAAAGTAAAAACTCACAAGATTGTAGAAGTAATGCGTTCGAAAAAACCAAGACTTATTGTATATTTTGTCAAAGAAAGATGGAAACAAGCAAAAGAACAAATCCCAAAAATGGCTACGGGCCTTTTGTTTTTCAAATCGTTGTCTGTTTAGCAAAATGGAAAACAAAAACTCTAAATGGAGGTAATGGGAATCGATAATGTCAGTTTCATAGATATTACCGTAAAAGTTTCAAACCGATTTGACATCATGAACCACTAAAAATAGAATCCCAAACTCATGAGTATAATTGTGCTGTCAACATCCGTGGAAAATTTCATGCACCACCTAAATTCATGATCTCATAATTCACTTTGCACACTAGAATACAAAACGAAAAGGATATGCCTGAAACCAAAAGCTATATACCACACTTAATAGCTCAGCTTTAAGCCTATAATAATATACATTTTATAGTGACAAAGCACAAACTCAAACCAAGCCGATTACAAAACTCTTTGAGGAAATCTATGTAACTATCATCACCATATATATATAGATGAAATTACAACAAACACTTATCATATCACTTTGACTCTTGCAGGAAACTTTATTCCAGCAGTTGCCTCTTCAGTCGAAGAATCTCTAGAGGCGACAAGTTTTACGATTAAAGGATTAGCGGAAACATACTTTTGGCTCGCTTCGGCAAAGCTTGGAGCAAGAACAGTTTGCAGCCATTGATCGCATGTTCTCTCTTCGTCTGGTGACCATCTTAAGGCAGCTAGAATCTGAAGGATCGCATCGTTTTCTATCTCTAGGTGTGTTTCAGGTCCAAAGGACCGATGAAAATGCAAAAGAACGTTCCTTTTTATGTTCTTGGCTAACCCATCAAAGTCAATCTGCTTGAACGTCACTTTCCCGTCTACTTGTTCCATAAAATCCTCAAGCCAAGCTTCTGTGTTCTCGGACATTGCAGATGCTTCATCTGCGTTTGCTTCTGTCTCATCCACCGGAAGATTAAGATCAAGAAACGAACGTTGAGACTTAAGGGCTCGAAGCTCTGTAACTCCTGTGTCTGTCTCCTCTTGTCTTCTCTTATTCAGACCACCATTCTTGTTAACGTTCAAAGCATTGTCGGCTAGTTTTATCTGAAGTTTCCAGTTTCTTGCACTGAGAACGCTTTCCTCGGAATATTTGATTGGCTCTTCAAGAACATGACCATCACTGTCTTTATTAATTCCAGAAATAGTAGCAACAACTATAACATTTTTCATACTGATTTCTCTCCCATGTGAATCACGGATTTTTCCAGTTCTCACAGCATCTGACAATCTGACCTGATCAACAAACTCGGCTTTCTCAACGTTTTCAATGAAAACAATAGAATCCGCCCTCCTTGCCACTTCGCCAGCAATATAGTCAACAACTGTTTTCCCTCTAAATCTGTCATCAAGACTGTCCTGCGACTGGAAATCCACACAAATGCAGTTGTCTTGGCCACCGCAGAAGACTTCAGCAAGAGCTGATGCTACTTTCTTTTTCCCGGCTTTATCAGGTCCAAGAAGAGCAAGCCAAACATTACTTGTGTTTGCTATGTGGTTTCTTCTCCTGGACTCATCATCTCTGTATCCACAAACGATTTCGCTAATGGCGTTTACAGCTTCGTTCTGAAAACCGACTTTCCGAGAGAGTAATTCCCTGAGAGACTTGAAATCTTTGCAATACCTTGGGGCCGCCAACAATGGTTTTGCTATGATCATTTCAAAGTCTCTCTTTTCAACTGATATCGGTGTGCTTGATTCCTGGTTTTTCGATGCGTAGATTGTTCCCAACCCTAAATCTGTCGTAACACAGCTCAAAGGCGAGTTTGTTGTGCGACTTGCTGGATCCTCGGTCTGTTTAGGCTTCGAGATTTTTACTGATAAACCGGGTTGGTGTGGCAGATTCTGCGCTTGAGCCATCCCCTGAAAGCTTTCAGATGTCCTAGTGCATACAGTTTTTTCAGTTGGGCTTCCAAGACTCATCTTGGTGTGGCTAGACGGAACCAGCTGAAGCGGGAATTGCGGCCTAACGGGCTGGAAACTGAGTTTAGGAAATGCGGGAGTTTGATGGATCCTTTGACAAATGTCGTCCCATTTCTTCTGCAAAGCGGGAATCCTAGAGGCTAATGCGTTTGGATCATCTTTAGCCTGCACTGAATAAAAGCAAATACGCTCAAGAAACTGCCCTAGGAGCAAAAACATTATGAAAACAAGTTTTTTGTAGCAATCAAACAGTTTCAACAACACTTATTTAGGATAAAGCTCATAAAAGCTGCACCTTTCGGAGAAGTCCTTTGTCTTGTTCAGGCTCCACATTTCGTAACCAAGAAGGTAACTTCTCCGCACATTGATCATCTATAAGTGACCCGGACTTTGCAAAGGCTGTAACTTCTTGCTCATACTTCTCATTACAGAGATGACACCGAGGCAGAGTCTGATTCATTGAGTTACTAAACGGTACTCTAAAATCCGATGTTGATGAGAAAAACCCTCCAAACGGAACAAACGAGCCCATCAAACTGTACATAACCAACATAACATCATCGTTTCAGCACAAAAATTCAAACTTTTCCAACTTTATATACAAAAACAAAGCATATAAATCAATCAATACCTGGATTTTGGATAAACCCCTTGACTCGAAGAAGATGTAATAGGAAGAAGATGAAGATTCCATTCTCTATCAATCATCGGAAACCTCTCAATCAGCTTCAAATACGTCTCGTTACTCGAAACACTCCCAATAAACCAAAGCTTCTCACGGTGAAGCTTCAACAAATCCGAGAGCTTCAACACAAACTTCTCAACAACATCACCTGAGAAAGCCTCACTGGTTAAAACCTTCAACTCTCCAAGATTCAAAACCATTCCTGACTTCAGTCTCCCTAAATCATCAACCTTTACATCGATCCTCGACCCTTCAGCCAAAACTTCACTAATCTCTACACTAACTACACTTAACCCACTAATCTCCAGAGGTAAAAATCCAAACTTTCCTCTGTTTATCGAATCAGTAAACATTTTGAGAGCTTCACCACCACAAGCACCAACTAGTAATGGATTCTTCTTATCTTTCCTCCCCAAAACTTCACCGATCCTCCTACAATTCTCGTCGAAATCAGCAAAAGGAAACCCGAATCTAACCCGACCCGAATCAGATTCCGGTAGATTACATAGAAACAGAGGAGGGACACGAGATCGTGACGTGAATCTCGACGAGAACTGAGACGTCACCGGAGGATGAAGCACGTCGAGCTTAATGTCGGTGCTTCTAAACCCGGCTTCACCAAAGACCCGACTCACAATCGGGTCGTCTAAAATGGATAGTATAAAATACTTCAACTCAACTTTCAAAACCGACGTCGTTTGGGAGCTGTTCCCATGTATCTGATGGAGATGATAAGTCTCCGGGTGACGTCGTTGAGTCGCCTGAGACCTTTTGATCGCAGCCATGAGCGAGTTCGACACCGGAGGATCCTCTTCCACCGCCGTCGGAGACTTCGAAGAAGGTAGCCTGTCCAGAGAAACTCCGACGCAGAGCTCAAGCGCGCGAAACTGGAGACGTGAGGAGTAAGGTGTGTTATGAGCGGCGCGTGAGATACAAACTTCTCTGAGGATCGACGAAGGCATCGTCAAAAGACCCGAAACGGCGTGAAGAGACGTCGTTTGAGCGTGGCTACGACGACGCGCGACGGAGACAGCGTCGTCTAGTGCACGTGCCGTTTCTTCGGTTAAACATTGCCTCGCCGTGGTTACCGGTGTCGGCATCGCCTCTCCGGTCCGGTTTAGCAAAATCCCGATATTAAACCGAACCAATACAAATTCATATAAACAAAAGGAGAAACCAAAACAAGAAACAAGAAGATGAAAAATCAAGAAACTATAATAAAAAGAAAGCGTGAAAATATTTCTTGAAATGGGATTTATACGACAAAGATATCAAAAAACGAGTAGTCGCTTTTACGAAAAAGAAAATGGATTTTTATTATGTATATTTCTTTATAATATATAGTTTTTATGTTTTTGTAAGTTTGTTTACTTTGGTTTCAATCCTCAGAAGGCTTCTGAGAAGAAGATATGTAAAGAAAGAAGAGTCGCTGTTTTGGTGGTCTATTGGCTATGAAACCCCACTAATATATTTTTATTTATTTTATGTATAGTAGTAATGAGTTATAATTATTATTATGAATTGAGTATGAAACTTTTGTATTTATTTTTGTAATGTTGTGTGTTGTGTTATGTGTTGCCCCAAATCCTCGTGTAGTATTGAAAGAGCAAAGGCACATGTGGTGAGCATAGATTCACTATGGCCCAACTCTAAGATCTTCCTTTGCTTTCATTCGCTTAAACTCTTGAATAAATTTTTCGATTAAAAGATTTGACAATCCACATTGTTTTTCACAATTATTCGTTTTTTTTATTGATATTTTTTTTGGTGAACTTTTTTTTTATTGATATGAAAACAGTTTTATTTAGATTCTTTCTTCTCTTATTCTTATCTAAAAGTGAAACTATTCAAGCTCACAAGAAGCAAAAAAAAAAAAAATCTAATAAGTATGAGTGAGTGAGTGAGTATCTATGCCAAATCTTCTACTTTCCGTTTTTTCTCCAACTTGTGTTTGTATTCTGTGAAGATTAACTAACTAATTTCCAAAAGTAAATAGTTCGATTCAGACGAACTGATTCATTTTATATATACTGTTGAGTTTTTTTAGTTATGTTCCTCTTTTTTTTTTTTTGATCAAACATTTTTTTTTGTTAGTTCTATTCTAATTAGTAGTTGGAAGTTGACAAAAAAAAATTAGTAGTTGGAAAAAAGTTATAAGAAATTGTCTGTAAATTTAGTATGTAAATTTTACTCATTTCAAGTATAGATGTTCACCATCTCTTTTATTTCTTGTGTTGAAATATTTTTGGGCAGAACATTTGGCTTGAAAATCTTGATGTATATTTTGATGTGTTTTAGTTCTTTTTATAGATTGTTAAATGTTTTAACAAGTAAAAAAAAAATGAAGATTATATCAATAAACTGAAAATGGAGATGAAAGTATTGTAACAATCATCTAGAAGGCCATTCAACAAAATATAAGACTTGCCATAGGATTATATTCAACTAATAAATATACAGTGTTAAAAAAAAACAAAAGAATAGTTGAAAGAGATAAAATTTTGCATTTTCCTTTATGTGGGATTATTACGGATTTTGCCATTTTTGTTTCATCATTTTCACTTAAATTTTTATGGATTTGCCATTTTTTAATATTTAAAATTATACTTGCTTATGATTTGTTTGCTAAATTTATTGGTTTCGTAACAAATACTAAACTTTTAAAACAAACAGAAAAAAAATCCAAAACATAACATGTAAAAATGTGTATTTTAAATTTTGAAAATGGCTACATTTTGACATATTCATAATTTTGTTTATTTTTAAAGTAATTCATATTATTTCAATAAAGCAATGCTACAACTTTACTAAACTACAAAAATTTTGATCAATTTTTTTAAAAAATCGAGCAAACATGATGATTATGGTAGAAACTGTTGTTCATGAAAAAGCTAAAATGATTTAATGTTACATCATTACTAATACTTTATACAAATAGGATCTTTAAAATAAAACTGAAAAAAATATTTTCATTTTTTTTTTAGATTTATAACTTGAAGAGATAATTAGGAATGATTAACAAAGACAAGTCAACTTAATTATAATTAAGCATATATTCAGTGGTAGACAGTGATATAATTTTACTTTTAAGAGATTAGATGGATGTGATATGGTAAAGAATAAAAGCATGAGTAAGTGATTAGGCCCCAACCCCTTTTATAAATTCCACCACCACCATTTATATTCTTTTTTTTGTGTGTCATTGTCATTCAAAAAGTCTTTTTATTAATAATACTCCATGAAGAAAAAAAAATTAAAAATCAGTATATCATATTTTTTTACCTTTATCTTCCACATTATTTTATATTCTCTCTCAGCCACAAAGGTCTCCTTTTGTCTTTCCCCTTTAGGAAAAGGAAATTTTACTCAATGACCAATCATTATTACCACAAAATAGTTTATTATTTTCAGGCCAATTAAGGACAAACAAACATTGATCATTCGAATATTGGCTGGTTTTTTTTTAAAAAATCAATAATAATTTTGTTTTCAAGTATTTATAATAAGTATACATTAGTAAATATCGTTTCCAAAACTAGTATCACCATTTACACTATTACTTATTGAAGCCATGATATAAAAACCTCTCAACATCGCAAACTGTACGTGAAAATAGCATCTCATCTATATCATGTACAGTATATTAGTATTATGAGAGTGTAGTAGGTATGGTAATACGGTATAGTGACTATGTTTGGAAAAATTAAGATCGCAATAAGTGATCATTACTTGATACTTCTACAATACAACGCAATAATGGATCCTTTTGTTTAGCATCTTGGATACTATAAGCCAAATATTTATCGTTTAAAAGTATACTTCATAGGATTAAGACATATAACCTAATTAGTTTGTACTTAATATCTTTAGTGAATCACTGCTTGAATATCTTTTCAAAAAGCATGTTCTTGACAACAACAAAAAATGTGTAGTTTTACATACTTTTTTTTATTGAAAATGTTTAATATAATTATACATGCTGATTTGTTTTTGCATTCTATTTATCTTATAAGCAACTGAAATCCTGATACAACGAGGACAAAGTAATTGAAATTGATCATTTTGTAGTTTCTAAATCATGTGTTTTATAATTATAATAGACAATATAGATTACACATGAATGATGTGGTGATGGTGACTCTACCGAGGACGATTCTTAACTTTTAAATTTTGATTTATAATCAAAATTGATTTATCAAGATTTTTTTGGCAATGTGTATCATAAAATTTAAAATAATAATTTGGAAATGAATAAACAATAAGAAGAAAAGTGAATCATATTGATTTATCTAGAGGGTTTGTAAAGAAGATTTGCGTTTATTCTACGTGAAATACTATATAACAAAAGACAACGGAAATTGAAACTATCATGCTTTTGAAAATATATTTCTCTTAATAATGGCTTTGATTCATGTCTTTCTTATGAAACATCTCCATTAATTTAGTCTATGTAGCATAATTACATCAATTAAAATATCAAATTGTAAGAATGAGATTCAACTTTCAAAGGAAACAAATCATGAATTGTCGTCGGAGCAATTTGCTTAGATACTTATCGAGGGTTGACGTTACAATATAATGGGAGTAATTAAGCCCCTCTTCGTTAATTAATCTAGATCATTAAATTTGAGATTTATATAGTTTGGTGGTTTATATTGGATTATGATAAATATATCGTTTAACCCCTTTTTCTATAGTCTCAACCACGATTTCGAGGTGTTGTGATGTGAGTGATGGATCGCAGGTAAAGGGACAAAGATAAACATAATTCCTCTGGTTACAAAAAGACGTTGGACCTATTTGGTTTTGGAAAAGCCTATAAAGAAAAGGAGAGGAGATTAGAATTATTATCAAACTAATCATGTTTTTCAACATAAATATTTGGTCAACAACAAAAAATTATATTCACAACCACTCCAAAATTAATCCACATTTTAAATTATTTTTTTGTATTTGAACATTCAAAAAAGTTTCTTGAAAGCAAAAGTTACTATTATAGGTTTAGTAACTTAATGAATGTGAAATCTATGTATGATTATACATACATATATATAGGAATAACACAAAAGTGAGAGATTCCGACGACATTGGACATCTGATTATACGAATAGAATCATGACACCTAAGTTTTTTCTTTTGTCAACAAAAAAACATGAAAAATCAAAGATGAGACAATGGATTGTTATGGGAGAGCGAACTGAAAACTCTCTCGACTCCACAAAGACACAGGAGTCGATTCCAATTAAAAGGTATTCGATTTGACCCTTACTTTTCTATATTATTCTTTTTCTTATTTTCTCAGAGCATCTTAATTATTTTGGTTTACGACAATTTTTTATTATAAATTATATACTTTTTCTGACCATCCACTGATTTAATTACACGATACCAAACAAAGAACATCAAATAAAGAAAGTGGAATCTATTAGTTTCATCTTTTTTTGGATACGCAAATGTGATAGCATCTATTAACGATCACTACATTTCGTAACTTAAGCATCAACTATATAATAAATATGCTGGTTTTTGAAAATATATAATAGTTTAGTTCATTAGGGTTTCTCAACTGATAATTCTAAATACACGACATGATCTTATGAGATGATAGTAAATATAAGTATATTCAACTTCTGAGCCATTCATAATATTAATTTACTGCATGCTGTTTATTATTACAGCTCCAAATTTAAACTAGAGGAGATGTTTTTCACTCGAACACAACGTTCGAAATACCATGCGATCAATATTAAACTTAGAAATCAAAACAAAGTGAAGTGAAAGATTAATTAGTTTTTTTGTCTTTATATAAGGATTGCAAAACACTTTCAATTGTCAAAAGATAACGCAGATGTTTTCATCTTTTCAAAAGTAGTATGTTTTATATTAAAATGCAATGACTTTTTCTTTTATGAGAGTACTTGAGTGTGAAGGCTCCAGCGATTACGGACGTAAAGTCGAATGTTTCAAAAGTAAGTGGATCAACGTGTAATTATGTTAGAAATTTTTCTTTGTAAATATTCCAAGAACATGTTGTCCTATAGCTCCTGACATGCGTCAAGTAATTAGTGTCTTCAAATTGATATGTAAAATAAATATTAAAAAAATGGACGCAACGATGATTATGTTTAGTAGAGAGGGATTGAAACTTTTGGGTGGTGTCGTTGTCGTCTTGGTGACACTACCACGACAATGTTTGTGGTAACTAGTCAATCGTGGTGACCTACTTTTTTTTTGTATGTCTTTGGTAAAGGAGTCAAAAACCATATTAACATTATTGTATGTTAAATTGAACTAAACTTACGGCTTTGATTGGGAAGTATATATATTTAGAAACTGTTAAGGACGTGAATAGAATTGATAAACAAACGGTTAAAACGAGTTATTCGAATAATTGTATGGTTAATATATGCATGCGATTAGTAGAGTTAGTAAAATGAAGTGATTACAAACCACTAGGTTGACAAACGGAGAGTTGGATTTTTCTGATTTTCTTCCATTTCCTTTGAAATTTTATCTCATCTTGTCTTAATGCTTTTTTAAGAAACGTCAAAATTTACAATATAATTTGTTGTATAATTATTAATGTTTATATTTTGTGGTCATACATGGTTAAATCTTCATGTTTTTCCACATTCTTATTCATTCAAAGGAAAAAAAAAAATCAAAGCTTCGATTTAGGGTTAGTTGATAATTGGTGTGCTATTATCATGTTTTAAATTAAAGTTTATATATTTTCTGTACTTTGAAAATGTTGATACCATTGGAAAATAATCAATGGGGAAGCTTTTTAGTACTTTAAACCGTCCAAACTCTTACATTTTGACTTAAATGTGTTCTTACATATTAGTTTAAGACTTTTGTCGTGATGTTTTTTCTCATACACAAGAGTTTTTTTTTTTTTGGTCGTATAAATAAAGTATATAAGTTATGTAAAGAGCAATAAAAAGGTTTTACTAAGATAAAGACAACTTGAATAGTTTTTTATGATGAATTTTAGCGTGATATATTATCACACACTTACTTATATGTAGCGCAACAATATATATATATTCTGGTAAATTGATCTTCTTTTACATAGAATAATAACATGATAAATATAAATCTCACTGCTATGACAAAAAAAAAACTCACTGTAATTATAGGAATAAACCTGGCTAAAAACTTCAGTTTAATAATTATATATCATCACATAGAAAAAAAAAAGTAGGAAGCAAAATACAAAATCAAGAGTCTTGTGTAGGCTTTGTAGCTATTAACTTTCTAAGAAAAGTAGAGTTTTCAGTGCAAAGTCATTTGTCTTTGTTGAAAATCACAAAAACCACAGATACACTAAAAGATTCAGTTTCATGAATCATGATGGATGATGAAATTTGAGAAATTTTACCTAAATAAATATTGTTAACTAAAAATGTACTATATTTTAAATACTTATAAATTATTTAAAATTTAGACCATAAATTACACTAGACCATAAATTACAAATTACCAATTGTAAAAGCCCACAATAAAACCCACTAAGAAGTCCAGTAAACAACTCCCGGCGTATGTTAGCTTCTTTCAAGTTGGATCATCGTCAAAAACATAAACCTTCTTCAGCTCAGTACTCTGTTTTCGATTGAGAAGATGACGAAGATGGCGAGATCAAGCTCTATTCTATGTGGAACTCTCCTCCTTCTCGGAGCCGTAGCTTTAATCGAGGTAACCTTTTTGTTTCATATCCTCACGAACTCTTGATCTTGTTCAAATGTTATCGTTACCACAATTATCCAGATCTACAACGTTCTAATTGAAGTCACCCAGATTTGTTTAAAGCTTCTAGTGTTATCTACAAACATGTACTTAGGTTTCAGGAATTAAGAACGATGTGATCAATGTTTCCTATAGATTTATGGAAAGTGACAGTTTTCAAATCTCTGTTGATTTTGTGGTTTTGATTTAGGCAAAAGAAGATCTCAAGGAGATTACTCACAAGGTTTACTTCGATGTAGAGATTGAAGGCAAATCCGCTGGTATGAGTTCAGATGAACTTGGTGAAAATGTTTGTTCTTCAGTTTACAGATTCTTTGGTTTCTTTTGATGTTTGATTGATTCTCTGATTACTATTATTATGTCGCAGGTCGCGTTGTTATAGGACTATTTGGCAAGGCAGTTCCTAAAACTGCAGGTGAAGTAATATTGTTTTGAAGTTTTTGATTATGTTTCTAGACTATGTTAATGTTTTGCACACATAAGAGTTTGGAAAATCCAAGGGAGTAATTCTTGAATGTGTGTGTTTTTTCTTCTTGCAGAAAACTTCAGAGCTCTTTGCACAGGTATGGTTTCACCATATAAACTCTGTTATATTATCCACAATATTGTTTCAATACTACAAGGCAAAAGACGAGTGTGCCAGTGTCTGTCTTTAAGAACCTTTGTTATGATGGGGATCATCTGATTTGAGATTATATTTGGAATGTTTTGTAGCTGAAATTTTTTAAAAAGATTTTTGGAGCTGGGGTTGTGAAAAAGGTTTAAATTTTGACAGGGGAGAAAGGTGTTGGGAAGAGTGGGAAGCCTCTACACTACAAGGGAAGCAAATTCCATCGAATTATTCCCAGCTTTATGATCCAGGGAGGTGACTTCACGCATGGAAACGGTATGGGTGGAGAATCAATCTACGGTCAGAAGTTTGCAGATGAGAACTTCAAGCTGAAGCACACCGGGCCAGGTGATTTATCGTTTTCTTCCTTGTATTGTAAGCCAAGTTTGGCGAGTGTCGTAAAATTGTTGTCAAGGCTGATGGTTGATATGTGAAAATCAACACAGGCTTGCTTTCGATGGCAAACTCGGGAGAAGACACAAACGGTTCGCAGTTTTTTATTACGACCGTGAAAACAAGCTGGTTAGATGGAAGGCATGTGGTGTTTGGGAAAGTGGTGCAAGGAATGGATGTTGTCTATAAGATTGAAGCCGAGGGAAAGCAAAGCGGAACTCCTAAGAGCAAAGTCGTAATTGCAGACAGTGGAGAACTTCCTCTCTAAAACCCTTCTTCTTCTTCTTCTTCTGGAGAAATAGGATTTTAAAGTTACTCTTACGATATTGTAAACATGTCCAAATGCTACAAGAACAGATTCAGTTTCAGTTTCAAAGGTTGGGGTTTTATAATCAATAATATTGACTTATAGAGTTTTGCTTTTGTTTTGATTTGATTTTTTTGTTTCTGGTGGTGTGGTTGGTGAATGTCAAGAAATTCAGATGGTTTTTTAAGGGATTTTAATCATTTGCATGCTCATCCTTAAGTAGAGTTGGCAAATATGTAACTCAAGGACTTCATTTTACAGAAGCAAACTCTGTGTGCGCATATACACAACAATCAACACTCTATGAGGATCTCAGATGTGTTCTCCCCAATACTATTAATCTTATCATTATTCATCACGCTTCTAGCCTCCGTCACAATCTTAGTTGTTGTTCCCACACCTCACCGAGCTGGTTAAATCGCAAGGCTTTGCTAAACCGGCGTAGCTGTTCTAAACGACCCCTGGCTCCGGAACAGAGTCATCTCAACTTCGCATATGTTTTGTTGTAGAAATATATAAACTATGATTGAACAAATGTCAAAATGAAGAGAAAACTCACGTATGAGAGATTTTTATCTTATTCAAATAATTTATAAATAGTTAATTCTAATCTTATTTTACTTAATCGTGCATATCTTAGATATTTTTATCTCTTAAAAAAACGGGAATGCAAAGTTATTTACATGATAATAAAAAGAAAAATTAGACATATAAACAGTATGTTGTTTGACACTTCAAACCCATAAAGTTATATACATATAAATAGTATGTTTGACACTTATATATGGGTCTTCCAAGAGATCTTGAAAATCAAATCGGCTTTAGCTCTCTTTGATATATCTTCTTTTGTTGATGAACTTTGGATTGGCCAGTTGAGAAAGTGACTCCAAAGTCTTCAACGCTTTGTATTTGATTAATCTATAAAGACTGGTTATTAAGTATCATTGTACGTACCTACCTCTATACATCATTTACAATGAACGTACTGATCATGGTATTTGTACCAAAATATGAAACTATATCGTACTTAAAATCATATTTGTTTGTTATGTCTCATTGTCTCAATATAATGATGGATCATCTCATCATCATCATCGTCATTAAGTTTAAGACTTGGCTATATAACTAACCAGAGCCATATCTCTTTGGAGCAACTCATAAAGCTATACTGTTTAACCATCATAATACAAACAACGGACCACTAAAAAAAAAAACATGTAACTAGTGATTGATTTATACGAATGAGAGAGACCATGCAGAAACCAAACTAAAGCAGAGGAGCTGAATACATAAAGCATAACCTGAGTTTGCTGTTTGCACGAATTGCGCCGTCACGAACCACAAGAGCTCCGTCTACCGCCGTAAGAACCGGTGGTCGTAGTTGTTTCTGTCGTGTCAACGTTCTTGGCCGTCCTAGTCCGCCGCTGATCGAGCTTTGTGGCGAAATCGACAGATAAAGCAGAGTAAATCTCCATAACTCGAAAAATATTACCATTGATCTCGTTGATCAGGGCAACGTTTCTAGCTACGTTATCAGGGATCCGAGACATGTGGTTTTCGTTGACTCGTTGTATCAAGTCACGGTTCTGATCAAGAACGACCTGAGCTCGTTTGAATCCATTACTCAGCGTATCCCACACCTCCACCACGTCTTCACCGTTCATCTCCATAGCAATCGATTTCTCGATTTGTTTCCAAAGATATATTTGACTCTTTATGGAGGAGGAAGAGAGATATCTGACACGTGGAAGAAACCGACCCGGGAAGCGGTTGTTCGGGTCAAGAAGATGACTGTGACGGGATTTGCGTGAAGGACCAATTGGGTAATAAGAATAAGTGTGTTGGAAGGATATGATTGGATTGGGATTGGTGACGTCAGTGAAAGTGACCGTAGCGAAGAAGCGTCAAAATATATATTTTCGGAAATAAACATATCTCAACCTAGGACGACGGACCAGATATATCTGAGCCTTTTCCCACATCTTTAATAATATTCAGTGTGTACAAAACTACAAAATAGCACTAAACAGAGCAAAACAGAATCTTATTTTATGTGTTTGCTTTTTTTTTTTCATCAATGTCAAGAAAACTAATAGAGTCCTGCGGTAATACAGAGAGAAAAAAAATTAAAAAAAGTCCTGACTACTCGTAGAAGGAACACTAGAGAAAATAGGGCAAAAATATAAAAATATAAAGAAGGACTTCTATCTTCTCTGGAAATTGAGGTATTTGACTGAAAGTGCAAAGCATGAGAAGAAGAGAGCGCAAAAACAGACAAGAACAGCTGCAGATACACCTATCATGTCTGGCTTGTACCCGAAATAATGTTCGATAAACTCTTTCACCGTTCCATGGAACGTTGGCTCGTCGATCATGCTCTCCACGTCACCAAGCTGTGAGAGGATTACTCCTTGAAGTGTCCACGCCACTGGACAAATGTAGTAGAACCATATCCACCACACTGGAATCAACTGAAGTACCAAAACAAATACACATCAAAATATGTTAAAAGGATATTGTAAAGGGTAATATGTGTGGTAAGGCTAAAGTGAAATACTTACAGGTTTTTGGACGAGAAAACCAGAGAGGAGATTCCAGAGAGAGTAGAAAGCCGAGGAGATAACAGCGGCTAAGTGCTGATTCGGGGTGAAACCAACCGCCATCATGCCATAGAAGGTGAAGTAGGTGAAGGTGAGGAACATGAACACCATATACAGTACAAACTTGCCTGCGTTTCAATGTCATTATATTAGTATTATTAATTGTATAGTTGATGCAGATAGAGAAAGATAAGTAAACTTACTTAATGTTCTTTCAAAACCAATGGTGAAGTATGTAATGACACCATAGAGGATGGTTTGGGTGAGAATGTAAGGTATCTCCACAAGACCTTGAGCAGCTGCATATGGAATTGGAGAATACATTCCTGCAGCTTTCTCTCTGTAGAAGACTGTTCTTTCGATTGAAACTATTGGTTGTACCGATGAAGCATTACTAACTCCAAGAAATAGACAAGCCGAGTAGAGAGCTCCCATTACAGTGATCAAATCCTGTGAGGAAGTCCTCTTGGAACCAATGTCCCAGAAAACTGTGCCAAGTATAAGCGCAGCTATCGATGTGAACCCCAATCTAACAAGATTGTATTCTGGACTTCTCCAGTAGACAAGGTTCTGTTTCCAGAGGCAGAGTAGAAACTGAGATGGTTGGTTCTGTGAGTATCTTGAAGTAAAGCTTATTGGCTCTGAGCCTTCTGGTGGAACACTGAGCTGCTTGATACTTGTCTCCACTCCTCTGTATAACACAGTATGATTAGATTCAAATTTTTGATAGTGGTGGTTAAAAGAGATTGAAAAATGTAGCTACATGGTGATAGTTACCTAAACTGGTCAGAATTCTTGTATAAATCTGCAAAGTCCATGTTATATTTCTCTTCCAATGCAGGCGTAGTGACTTCAAGCATCCAAGTAGCTGGATTGTAACCACTTGAGATTGCAGGTACTCCGTTAATCCCCTGTAGAGGGTTTAGGGTTTGTCTTATGTTTACTTGGGGCACAAGTACCTGAGTGCAAAGATCAAAGAAGAAGAAGAAAAGGCCAAGACAAGTACCTGAAAGTAATCTACAAGAACCTGTGAGTGTTTACCCAACTTCCCACCATATATAACCTGTCCCCCTCGTTTCATTAGAAGCAGCTGTATTTTTAAAGGTTAAGCAAAAAGAGCAAACACGTTAAGATCATCCACTGATAATAATCCATAACATTTCTTGCAGTCCAAGCAAACTTAGGGCAAACCTCGTCAAAGGCCTCGAAAATGTCAATGCTGGGTTGATGAATGGTGCAAACCACTGTTCTTCCAGTGTCAACAGTGTTCCTTACAGTTCTCATCACAATTGCAGCTGCTCTTGCATCAAGTCCAGATGTTGGTTCATCCATGAAGATTATTGATGGATTTGCTACTAACTCAACCGCAATTGTTAGACGTTTCCTCTGTTCTGTAGATAGTCCTGTTGTACCGGGTAAACCTACTAACGCATATCTCAGAGTATCAAGCTCTACAAGTCTCATTACTTCTTCCACAAATTCCTATAAAAACCATGAAAACATATTTTCAGTGAAACTATCCAAATGATCATAACCAAATGGAGTAATAAAACTAATTTTATGCTGAGTTAGTTACAAACCTTTTTTTGCTCTTTGCTGATCTCTTTAGGAAGACGAAGGCTAGCCGAAAACCACAGAGACTCTTCAACAGTCACTTGAGGAGAATGTATATCGTTCTGCTCAACATATCCAGAGATTCTAGCAAACGTTCGTTGTTCTTTTGGGTGACCAGAGATTCTAATATCTCCCTCTATGTATCCACCTGTCTTTCGACCAGCAAGAACATCCATCAACGTAGTTTTCCCCGCACCGCTTGATCCAACTAAAGCTGTAAGAACACCAGGTGAAAAGACTCCGCTCACATTTGATAACAGCTGTAGTCTTGTCTCTGGGACACCTTGAGAACGCATTTCCTTAGATTCACAAAATAAATCTTTACGTTAACCATAGATAAAGGCTAATTAGACCAAACCGAAACAGAGAAGTGAATTTAAACCTTTGGCATATCAACATAATAGTTGACATTGTGGAAAGTCATTGTTAATGGTTGAAATGGAAGGATCATTCCCTTTTTCTCACTTTTTCCTTGTTTTGTATCTGACACTAAAGCTTTGGCTTCTTCATTGGGATCGTCTAAAACAACTGCTCGAGCTTTTCTTAGAGCTGCAAGAGAAATAAACAAAAGAACTAAGCTTCACAATACTGCAACACATATCTAGAAAAAAAAGAATCACTAGCAATAGAGATTCTCACGGTTAAGATAAGCCAAGGCGAGAGTGACTATGTTGTTGAAGAGAATTGCATAGCCAATGAGAACCGCAATCCCAACCCAATACCAATTGTCATTTGTGGGAAAGCTACGTATCTTTAAGAGGTTGAATCCAATTGAAGTATTCGATATAGCGGATGGCTGCATAATATTTTAAAAGTGAAATAGTTAAGCATTATATATTCCAACAAAGTAATACTATATATAGCTAGAAGAAGAGATCATTGAACACACCGTCATCCACCGTGTGGCTGTGAATTCATTGACCGCAATGGCACGTTGTCCATAGGATAATGGCGAAACCCAAAAACCCCAAATCCACCAGGGTTTAATATCAGCTGTTGACAATGATAAGAGTTTTATTATAGCAACTTAAATCAACAATTAAACCTCTTGTATGCAAGAAGTAGTGAAGTAGTGATAGTTAACCTTTTGGAATAACGAATCCACCAAGCAAGAACACTATTAAGATAGCTGCAGATCCGAATGTATTGGCAATGACCATATCCCTTGCTAGAGAAGCCATCATACGAAATAAACCTAGAGCCATTTGATGCACCGAGAAGAGGAGCAACATGTATCGGAAAAACCTAAGAAAACAAAACAGAGAATTTTTAAGGACTACAAATTGAAAAACAAAGTATTGGAGAAATGTTAACATCCGCAGAAAATGACTAACCTGCCTGGTGAAGGAGCAAGTCCCACACTGTAGTATACCACACAAGTCCAGACAACAGCTTCAAGGATAGAGTAAGGAACACGCAACAGCCAGCTGGCTATAGACCAGGACCAAGCAGGGTGAAACGAGTTATCCCTTTGCTTGTAGAAAACCGGGAGACGCGATATCATGAGAGGCAGCTCAGAGAAACCATTGAACATCATGTGCACTAGCCCGAAGAAAAGGCAAGATAGATACTCGTTGCCAAATTGTTCGTTTGTTGGGTGTAATCTAGTTCTCAAGAACACCGTGGCTGTGACAAATCCCACAAATGCAACCTTTAAGGATCACAAAATGTTTCAGATCAGAAACATAGGAAGCTATATTATAAGACAAAGTGTAACTCTAATCAAGTAATAAAGATAGCACTCTTAATACTTTAGATGATGCCAAATATATAGGTAGATATTTACCTGGCATGTCCTGAAAGTGTAAAGAAACCTGTGCCGGTTGATCAATAGTATTTCTCGTTCAAAGCAAGCTTTAAGGTTCTCCCATCCTGATATGGCAAATTTGGTTCTGCATAGAGCTGAAGGATCCGCGGATGACTTATCGAATGGTGTGGCCAGTTTGGAATCCGCATTATGCCCATATTGCGAGTTTCGGAATGCAGCCGCTATGTCTGAGACAGGAATGAACTGATATGGCTTTGAAGGATCTGCCCAGTATTGAGCTTGATCTTTTTTGGAAGTCACCTGCATGCCAACATTATAATAGATTAGACAATAGGACTTTTAGGCTCAAATGTGAAAGTGTACTGCTAAACTATAACTCTGAATCCTACCTATAAAATGTTTTAGTAAATAACCAAACCTAATTTGCTTGATATATATAACAAAGATTGTGAAATTGGGTATGCTAAACTCAAAGCAGTTAAAAGAGTTAGGATGTATATACCTCTTGGAGAAAATCTGCAACACCTTTACGTGGTGGGAGTCTGAATCCTAGTGACTCAAAAAAGCCCACCACTTCTTGTCGAGGACCTTGATACACCATGTAACCTTCTGATAGAAGAATTAAGTCATCAAACAGATCAAATGTTTCTGGTGCAGGCTGAAGTAGTGCCATGAGAACAGTTGCATCCATTAGGTGGACAAAGTTTCTGATACATTTCACAATCTGAAAAGTTGTTGAGCTATCAAGACCAGTAGATATTTCATCCATAAACAACGTTTTTCTTGGTCCAACAGTCATCTCTCCTGCATTATGTAAGGTTTAAAAATTAGCATAACAGAGCTAGCTGGTGGATTAATTAAGTGAGATAGATGAGTTTAAGTGAGTGAAAAGAGACCTGTTGTTACTCTTTTCCTCTGACCTCCTGAAACACCTCTCATCATATCATTACCAACCATTGTATCAGAACATACATCAAGACCAAGCACTCTAAGCACATAATCTGTTGAAACACTATGCTTTTCACCACTGACAGAAGCAGCCTATAACAAAGTGAAAGTGTCAGGTTTTGTTGTCTTATCAAGAAACATGATAAAATCTTGAAAATATTAGAAGCTATATGATACTGACCTTCATAAAAGCATCAATCTCGGAAGAAGGACGTATACCCCTCTCTTTCTCTAATCGGGTTAAATCTTTCATGTAGCCTACAATAATATAAAATCAAAACATAAATCATTAGAGAACATACATGACTTGAAGAAGTTAATATAGTGATCAGTAGTAAAACAAAATGAAAAACCTGCAAATCCTTCACTTGCACCCTGACATCTCGCAGCGAAATCAAGCGTTTCACGAACAGTGAGCTCCGCAATGTGGTTATCCGTTTGACTGATATATGCTGAAGTCCTTTTAACATAGAACTCATCAAGATTCTCTCCATTGTACGTGATCTTACCCGTTTTCTGTAAAAATAAAAAAAGTTCAGGTTATTTAGAATCTAAAAAAGATCAAATCATAAACCTTAAAAGACATGCATGTGACTTTTTAAACAAAAAGAGAGAAACATAAAGTAAGATGCATGTGATTAATATGAAACATAGTAAATAACTTCACGGGTTATTTAACCAACCTTAAGACTCTTATCAAGTTTTCCAGCGAGAGCAAGTAGCAAAGTCGATTTCCCCGAACCCGGTGGTCCTAATAACAAAGTCATCCTTCAAGAACAGTAGCAAAAACATTAGTGTTAATTGTGATTAATTTAGTGTTAATAATAATCTAAACAGTATTTTAAATTCACCTTCCTGGTTTGATAATCCCACTAATATCTTTCAAAATGTTCAGCTTGTGTTTCCTAGGCTTGATAATTCTCAAACTGCTTAAACAACGCTGCAAACAACATAAAAAAAAGCCAAAATTAGAAACAATCTTTAGGAAAAAAAAGAACTGTGTGAAATAGTCTCATCAGAAGACGATGAACGAACCTCAACGAAATCACGAGAGACATTAACCAAAGTAGGCAAAGCTCTTGTACCAACTTGAACATCAGCTTCAATATTCAAATTCTCGAACCGGACTTCGATTTTCGGAACCTCCATACCAACTCTACACAAAAAAAATTAAAATTAAAAAAAAAAAAAAATCCTAAAATTAGAAAACAGAGTCGTCGTCGTCGTCACACACCGATCAAGCCGTTCCTTAATAGCAGAGAGGAGTTTGAAATTATCCTGATCACTAGTAGCGAGAGCTTGACGAACCAACATCTCACGATCCGCACGATCCAGTTTCTTCACATCAATCGTCTGAACAACGTTCCCGTCGGCGTAACCAGAAGTCGTCTGACTCTGCGTCTGAGCCCGGCGAAGGATCGTGCTCTGATTGCCTTGTCTCTGCGACGGTAACCTCCCGATCGCCGCCCACCGTAGATCTTCTTCATCTTGCTCCACTGTATCGGCGTTCGAAGGCCGCGCGAACGATTCTCTACCTGTTTCAACATCGAATTCGAAATACTCGCTCCCGTTCGAAGCCGCCGCCATTGCTCCTCCCGATGAAGAGAATATCGAAATCGAGATTTGTTCTTATCTCTCTCTCTGGTTTTGATATTTTTTTTTTCCCGAAAAATCAGAGAATGAGAGAACTCTTTTTTTTTTTTTGGGGACTCTTCTCTTTCTCTCTGTTAGATAGATTGATTCAGTTAAGCTGTGCATATAAAGCGTGCATAATCCCCGGGCATATTTGAAGGCACTGAAAATGACGATATTACCCTCATGGGGTTTTTAGTTTTTGGAAAAAGGAAGTTTGAGTAACAACAGTTTTGTCCTCTTCTTACTCTTTTGACTCTTTGAGTTTGTTTGTTTTTTTTTTTCTTTCTAGAATATATTTTGGGTTTATGATTTTACTATTTTTGAGTCGAATATTTTTCTATTTAATGCAGTCAAATAGTATAATAATTTTTTTTTATGGGGGTAAATTAATGGTTTATAAATTTAATTTTGTAACTAATAAACAAAAATAAAGAATAATTAAAAAGGTGAGGATGATGTCTTGTAGAAGTGGGAAATAATCTTCTACAAGTAAAATTAACCTGTAACCTGGAATTTCTAAAGATAGGAGAGTTTTGATGTCTTAAGTAATCGTCATAATAGTAGTTTTCGTTGTTTGTTTTTGGTTTTTTGGGTTAAAATTTGTAAAAAAGTTAAGAATCATTAGTAGGGGTTTAATTTGTGTGGATTTTTTTTTTCTCTGTTCTCGAAAATGTATATATACAAAACTTATAAAATGTAATTAATGATGATATTGGAAATGAATATAAAGTAAAGAATTTCATCACATATGCGTTTTTTTAAGTAGATGTGCATTGCCTTCACACAATTCAATTTTTATTATTGCAATACAACTCATAATACATAGACATACACGAAATCGTTTTCTCTTTTTTGTAAAGTCGAGATAGTTAGACACGAAATCGAAAAATGAAGAGGATCTCACATTCATTCGTACGTATGTATACGTAGTTGTAACAATATTTGTTTAGATAATTTCGACTCTTTTATCTTTTGGAATAATTTATCTCGTAATTATTATTTGTATTAGAAAATGTATTGTATCACGATTTGGTAAATTTTCTAATTTAATTTTTCTGGTTTAGCAAAAGTGGGTTTTCTTCTCTAAACACTAGTCTTTGGTGGGCTTGTAATATTTTTCGCCTCATGCATGCTTATTATATAAAAACCCCATTATTAAAAAACAAAACTCTTGGGGTTTTAGAAAACTAATCAGCACTTTATATATTTATCATAGAGGATTTAGCAAAAACCCCAAGGGACAGCTGAGGACGACGATGTATGTTAGAATTAAGGAAACAGTCGACGAGAAACTTTGATATTTTTTAGGGCTTTTCCTTGTAACCAAAGAAATCTTATTACATATAAATAGCTGCCTCATCTCTCTTCCTCTCTCTCTCAAAACATCTTCGATCCTCCGACTAGACTCCTCGTCGTGCTTTCACATTCCTGGTTTGGTTGTTTTCCTCTTCAACACCGCAATCTACATAGTCTTGATTTATTCTTGTTGTATGTTTTGCCCTAGATTTAGTGGAATCTTACCATTGATTTCATCATCTGAGCTTGTAACCCTATAAATCGATTTTGTTGTTGTTGTTGTTAGGTTCCTTCTTTATAACAATAACCTACATATACGTCTTCCAAAAGAGTAGATATGGATTCTAGAGATTTCATTAGCAATTTACCGGATGAGGTTCTTGGCAAAATCTTGTCATTGCTTTGGACAAATCGTGCTGCTTGCACATCGGTTCTGTCCAAGAGGTGGAGGAACCTGCTTGAGCTTGTAGACAACCTTGATTTGAATGACGCAAGTGGTGACCATCACTACTTCTGTGATTTCGTGGACAGAACACTTGCCCTCTTAAGCAATTCTATAACTGTCAAGAGATTCTCTCTGAACTGTACGTTTGCCATGAAGCTTCTCGGATAGACACTTGGATTCGCACTGTCCTAAAGCGTGGCTACTTGGAACTTCACTTAGAGACAGCACATATGCATTATATAGACACTGAGTTCTTCACGAGCAAAAAACTGGTTGAGCTCACTATATGCGGTTGGTTTTTTCGTCGGGGTCGTCTTCCTCGAGAGGGAGTGTTTTTCCCAGCGCTTAAATCACTTTCCCTAGTTTCGGTGGAGTTTAAAGATGATTACATGTATCAGCACTTCATCAATGGCTGCCCTGTGCTTGAAGAATTATTCCTGCATTATTATAATCCCAACAGATCCCTGGCTTGGAATGGTGTCGTTTCGAGTCCTTCCATCAAACGACTAAACATCTATCACCGTTTACCTGATCAGTACCATGAGATGGCTGAAAAGGTTTGTGTGTTTCAGACACCCAATCTTGTGTACCTTGAATATTCAAGTTATGTCAAGGAAGAGTATGAGGTTTATTTGCCTTCCCTTGAAGAAGCTAGACTCGATATTCGATCCTGGGAGAAACTTGCAGACGTGTACGAGGGCCAGGACCAGGACCAGGACCAGGACCAGTACGAGGACCAGTACGAGGATGAGGATGAGGATGAGGATGAGAGTGATCATGTGGATGGTTTTGCAATGTATAGTTTGGGTGATGTTACGGATCTGGTTGCAGGGATAAGCAATGTTAAAACCCTTGTCTTATCTTCTGATTCTCTTAAGGTACTATGTCAGTTTCCTTCCTAGTTCTATTCATGTGTTTCAATTTGAAGTGCAAAGTCTCATTATCTATTCATATGTTTGTTTTTGTTGTGACAATATAAATCCAGGTGTTTCACTTGTGCTGTGATACAATCCCTATGTTTCACAACCTCCTTACTCTATCCTTTGAGAGTGACAAAGATATAGGCTGGCAAGTTGTGCCACTCCTCCTCAACAACTCTCCAAACCTAGAAACTTTAGTCATCAAGGTAGTACAAGAGTTTGCTTGTACCGTACGTATTCTTCTATTTGCTTTAATAATGTTTAACGTGAATACACCTTTTGATGTTAGGGTCTTGTGCACCAAGTTACAGATATGTGCGGGGACGCCTGTCCATGTATCCGTGAGAGGGAGAAAGAGAGAGTCTGCTGCTTATTGAAATGTCAAGTGAAAGTGCTAAACATTTCAGGGTATCAAGGTACTTATGGAGAGCTAAAACATATGAGGCATTTCTTGGGAAACTTGAAATGTCTTGAAACCGTTGAGGTGGGTGTTAAATTGAAACGCAAAGAAGGTAACAATGGTGATAACAAGTACCAGAGGATCACCAATGCTTTTATGAAGCTTCCTAGAATTTCATCAAATTGTCAGATCCAATTCTTCTGATTTTTCCCTTAGAATCTGAGTCATTAACATGCCAAAACAATATTTTAGAAGATTAATTTGTTTTTTTTTTTTTTTCTCCAAGGATAACCAATTTATATATATTTTATCTAAATATCTATATGATAAACACAATGGTTCTAGAAATATCTAAATATCTTTGATCCCTTTTTTTTAGCTGTGTCGATTTGGTTTAAGATATGAACCAAAATGATCCGAAATTAAGTTTCTTGTTAGATAGGTCAAACTAGCTATAGAAGTATAGAACCCTAATCCTCTCTTCCCAAAGAGAGAGAGAGAGTAACTAATGGGTTCTAGAGATTTAATTAGCCGCCTACCAGATGAGGTTCTTGGCAAAATCCTGTCTTTGCTTCCGACAAAACGTGCTGCTTCCACATCTGTTCTGTCAAAGAGTTGGAGGAATCTGCTTTCTCTTGTAGATAAACTCGATTTGAATGACGTAATAGATTGTGATTCCAGTGGCTTTTGTGATTTCGTGGACAATATGCTATCTCTCTTGAACAATTCTCCCACCTTGAAAAGATTCTCTCTGAAACTAGAGGATTCATCGCATGAAAATTCTCGTGTGAATAGTTGGATTCGCACTGCTCTTGAGCGAGGCTGCTTGGAACTTCACTTGGATCTCGTATGTTTGGATACTATAGAAATCGAAGGCTTCACTAGCAATACACTGGTTAACCTCACAATATGCGGTGGGCTTTTTCCTGACGAACATCTTCCTCCTAGTGGAAGCGTGATGTTCCCACTTGTCAAACAACTCTCTCTCGTTTCAGTGATGTTTCGAGAGTTTGAGAATTATCAGGATCTCATCTCTGGCTGCCCTGTTCTTGATGACTTGTTCCTACATTTTAGTGAGGATAAGTTTCCTCCGAACTGGAGTGGCGCCGTGTTGAGTCCTTCCATCAAGAGACTGACCATATATCACCATTTTCCAAGTTACCGTGAGGCTCAGGACGATGTTCTTTTTAATACACCCAATCTTTTGTACCTTGACTATTATAGTTATGTGGCAGACCAGTATGAGGTTTATTTGGGCTCTCTTGTAGAAGCTAGACTGAATATTCGATTATGGGAGCGTCGATTTATGAATGATGATGAGGATAGTGACACAGAGAATGATGATGATGATAATGGTGATCATACAGAGAAGGATGTCGATGATCATAATGATGATGATGAAAATGGTGATACAGAAAAGGATGATGAGAATGGTGATACAGAGAAGGGTGATGATGATGATAATAATAATGATGATGAGAATGGTGATACAGAGAAAGATGATGAGAATGGTGATACAGAGAAGGGTGATGATGATGATGATGATGATGATGATGATGATGATGATGATGATGATGATGATGAGGAGGAGGAGGAGGAGGAGAGTGTGGGTGATGTTACGGATCTAGTTAAAGGGATAAGCAATGTTAAGACTCTTCACTTGTCCTACGATTCTCTTGAGGTCAGTTTTTTTTTTAACTACTTCTTCCTCTATTGATTGTTTTAATTTAAAGTGCAAGCTAGTTGGTTTTGGTTGTGACAACATATAAATATGCAGGTGTTTTACTTTTGTTGTAAATCAATTCCGGTGTTTCACAACCTTGTTACTTTATCTTTTGAGAGTAACAAAAACAGAGGCTGGCAAGTGGTGCCACTTATCCTCAGCAACTCTCCAAACCTAGAAACTCTAGTCATCAAGGTATTATCAATTTCATTCGATCATCTATTTGCTAGACTATTATATCTATGAATGAACTTGCTTATGTACGTAATGCTTTTCAGGGTCTTGTGCACGAAGTTACAGATGGATGTGGAAACGCATGCCCTTGCACCCCTAAGAAGAAAAGTAAGAAGAAGAAGAAGATTGATGAGGAAATATGTTGTTTACAATGCATAGATTTTGAACTCCTCGAGGTATTGTCAATTTCACTCTATCACCACATAAACAGACTCTAATCCTTTTTGCTAGAATTATTCTTTATGAACTTACTTTGTGTCGTCGTTATGCTTTCAGGCTTTTATGCGCGGGCTTGTTGTATATAGAAGTGGAAACAAACCCCCTTGCATCCACAAGAAGAGGGTAGAGGAAGAAGTACGTCGTTTATCGACATGTCGAGTGAAGGTCCTAAGTATTTCAGGGTATAGAGGAACTCGTAGAGAGCTGGATCAAATGAGACATTTCTTGGGGAATTTGAAATGTCTTGAAACTGTCAAGGTTGGTGTTAAAGTGAATCATGACCGAGAAGACAACAATGATGGTTATAGTAGGTACATGAGAATAACTAATGCTCTTATGAAGCTTCCCAGAGTTTCAACAAACTGTCAGATCCATTTCTTTTAATTTTTATCATTTTCCTCCTTATATTTATTTGAATTGTTGCAAAACCTTCTTTGTTAGATTGTTGCAAACATTAGTAATCAAAATCTAATTTTATTATATGTATAATCTTAATCAAATATTTCACATGATCCAACACTCTCTGCAATGATCAAGAACTTCTTCTTCTTCCACAAGCTCTTCCCTAGTTCTCGGGGTTGCAACAGTCGGAAAAAACTTGATTTGAACTCATGTCGAGGACGTGCACACTATCATAGCTTCGTAGTTCAATGATAAATCAATCAAAACCAGCACAATTATTTGACAAAAGAAATGAAGCTGTACTCGAAAGTTTACATCAAAAGCACCCTTTCAATTTCCATACTCTTTTAGAACATCACAAGGTTTGAAGAACATTGCGCAACAAAAACTTCAAGTAATAACCGTGCCAAAAAGTAAAACACAACTCCTAACATGATCGATACAGGAAGAGCTGGTAAAGCCTTCTGATACACAGACAATAGCATCAATGTGATCCCCAAACCGGCTATGATCGCCAAGTAACAAGCGTAAACCGTCATCAGATCATACATTGCAGCTCTTCCAACCAAAACACTATAGAAGATGAAATCCCCAAGTCCTAACTTGATAGCACCCGATGATCCCAACCCAATCCCTTCAAGAAAAGTCTCTGAATTCTCAGCCTGATCAGGTCTTCGATCAATCAACGGCACAGATATCTCTGCTCTTTCACTTGAACCTACATGTTCTTCTTCTACATCTATTGATCTAACCACCCTTCCCACTTCGTTTCGATTCGCTGTGTTCTCAATGTCATTGTTATCATTCTGGCTAGCTCTCCGCTCTCTCCAAACTCTCCTCTGAACCAAACGGGAATCATTTCGAATCACAGGCCGTGCTTCGTATACCAAAGCCGGGATATCTTCGTCTCTAGATATAGCCATTTCCACAAGAAGACGTAACGGACCAACAGGTAAAAGAACAGCAGCAATGTCATATAGTGCCAAAGCAACGAGAAGAACCCAAGTAGTCCATTCAGGCAATAACGTGAAGAAGTAAGCAACCAATACACCAATCCAAACCAAGTAACCTTGAGTGATCAAAATCGAAAACTTCGACATAAACACAGCGAACACACCAACGACGGAGAAATTGACGAGAAGTATCAGAAACGTGATACAATCAATCGGGAATCTAAAACGATCGATCAATAAAACTAAGATTTCTCCACCTAAGTTCCCTAAAACGATGAAAGCTGAGAAACCCATGTAAAATTTCAAGAATTTAACACATCTGAGGTAAAAGAGAAGCACCAGAACGAACGTTGCAACAGTGATTGCAGCGACGAAGACGAGGGAATTCAAAAAGGCACCTACGAATTTGTCCCACGAGGAATCTGAATCGCTCTCGGCGTAAGCTGCGGTGGCTATGGAGGAGAAAGAGGCGGAGGAAGAAGAAGGGTCGGAGTTTAGGATACAGACGAGAAGAACAACGGTGAACATACAAATGGAGACAGGTGTGAGGATTGCGATGAGTTCTTCGCCTAACGAATCCAGAAGGCTTCTGGGTCTTTGGTTTCGATCCATTGGGTACTCAAAGGTCTCAGTTTTGGCAAGTCAAATTGACGAATTCGATGAGGATGATGAAAGGATTCAGAAGAAGCTAAAGAGCGTACCTTTTTCAGATTTTTTTTTTTGGTAATAAAAATGATTTTTTTTTCCTGAGCTTATTCAAGTCACTCTACAATACGACATCGTTTCTGTAATTTGAACTTTTGAGTTTTGGACTATGAATGAAGTCATGTATATAGATTGTCCAAAACAGAGTTACTTTATACGTTCTCTAAGTCCAGAAGTAGTATTGTATGATAGTGGTGATTGAACCACAAAATGTAAAGGGATCATTATTCTCCAAGCGTAATTACTGTATGCAACAATTTACACAAGTAGGTTAAATTTACTCACTAATATTTAGGTGTCTCTTTGTTTGGTATTGTGATATTGTAACAAACTAGCCTCAAACTTATATATATCAAGAGGTCATTGCAATAAACAAACACATTACAGTTTACATTTAGTAAAAGCCCAAAAAATTAACTTGTGCTCCAAAGATCTTTACTCTATAATTTGGTGAGGCTTTTTAGAAAAGATGAAGAGACATTTTGAGTTTATTCTGTTTCCATTTTGGAAGTGCATAGAAGTCAGATTTCGCCATTCCAAATCTCTCTTCGAACTCTTTCTTTGTTAAGTATGCCTGAGAGATGAATTTACATTGAAGTGTTCAAGTGTTTGTAAATAAGAGAGCTAGTTTTTTTTATATGGAATAGCAGGGTTACCTCTCTTCTTGTTGCATCTATATCTATCACTGGCTCCTGAGAATCGACTCTAAGCTGTTCATATGAATATGCAAGTGATTCTAGACTACTGAGATCGCAATTGATTCCTCCTAGTGGATTCTCTTTAGAAATTTCTGAGTTGGAGCTTGACTCTTGTCTCGCCAATCCTGCATCGGAAATCAGTGCTTTGATATTAGATTTCTAGAGACAAAATGCTTAGGTGCACTCATTACGAGTTGAGGAATCCAATAGTAAAGAAATTTGACATAGTTTGTTGTTTTTGCACTGCTTTCATCACTGAGTTATCTTGAAGCTGCGTCATAGTTTTCTGATACTTTATGAGTCATATAACTGAGAACTTCAATGAAAAGGTTAACATATGAAACCTTACCATCACTAGGAGGATCCACTGTAAGAGATTCTGAGAAAAGCTTTTTGACAACTGGAGTTAAGTTACTGCTGCTTGTCCTGTCTTCTGCAGAGCTCAAGCTCGAAAGCTTTTCACTGGAGCAAGGTGATACTCCTCGCTCTGATCTGTTTGAGCTCACAGATCGACTTTGTAAACCACGTGATGCATTATCCTTCGAGCGTGAGCTCCAAGGGCTTCCGCCAGATCTCTGAAAGCACGAAAGTTGTAGTTACTTCAAAATACATTGATCTTTCTTATATTAGGCTTGTTTACGATCATAATAATAAATATGTCGCCATGTCGGACTATTCTGCATGACAAAAAGTCCATTGGCATGGAATTTGTAGGCCATCACTGTAACACATCTCAAGTAACCAAGTTCATTTGACTGTGACTGACCTTAGTGCTTGTCTTCTTTCCTTTCAGACTAGCAAGCTTCCTTTCAAATGAATTACCATGCATCTGCAATGTTTCCATACATATTATTAGTGAAAGTGTACAAAATCCCAAAACTTGAAACTCAGTAGACTACTATCAAAACATTTTGGAATATCATAATGCTCTGTTTAAGGGGACTTCAAGATGGAAAGAGATGTCTTACGTTTGCCTTTTCAGGAACCCAATCAAAGAAACGGGTGAAAAATGGTGGCTCGTGGCCTTCTGTGACAACATATACAGGAGTCCTCACGGTTAAACCTTCTTCCATAATGTCCATCTGTAGGAATTTCTGCAATTTCACAAGTAGAATGAACTAAGAAATATTGAAAAAGGAAGCCATATTTGAGAAAATCGAGTTTGCCATTCCTAAAATTTATTTATGCAGCTAGATTAGACTAATTTATATTTTTAAAGTCATGGCGTTATGCTAACAGAAAAAGAGTAGGTCAAGAAATTGATAATACTTTATGCAGCAAGATTAGTCTAATTTATTTTTTTATCCCATTACACTCTGCTTAATGTCTGTGCTGCAGTTCCACCAAAAACAACAAATATAGCACTTGGAAGGCCAAATAAAGAGAAAAATTACCAGACCAAGAGTAAGAGCTTCTTGCTTCGACTTTATGTTTGAGTTTAATCCAATCCAAACATATACTTCACTTTGGCAGTCCAATAGTAGTACATCTTCAGTAGTTAAATCGTCTTGCACAAAGTTGTATATCTCTTTCACCTGAAAATTTCATGCACAGAGTGGGTATAAGATTAGAGTATTCCCAGCTAATCTCTAATCACTTAAAAAGCATCAATAGACACATGAACTGTACCTTGAGTAGATCTGAACAGAAGAGCCAAAGTCATGGACCACTTGTACGTTAGGCATAATTTGTAGCTGAACCATGGCAGAACTAACAATGATGTAAGATGATAGAAAGAACTGGAAAGATGTTTACCATTACCTGAACTGCTTGAACATGTAAATAAATGTGGTTCTTCTATCTGTTTTCTCATTTCCTTTTCTTTTGGGTACTCTGACTTCCCACCAAGCAAATCCCAAAATGTATCTGGTTCATTTCCTTCCCTGATGTATATGGGTTGACAAGATGTCTGCAGATGGAAACGGGGAAACAGACTTGTTACTAGTAATACTGAACATAACCCTAATAAACCAGAAAAAAATGTATGGCATGAACTTAGAAAACAGCAGCTGAGAGCTAAAGTTACTTACATCAAGGAAATATAGCATTCTGTCAAGAACATCATGATCAGAGTCTGATGAAAGTTTCCCAATCCAAGTGAAGGCAGAAGCTCCGTATTGTAAAATGTAAGAGTATGATGAGTTCAAGGAGGTTGCTGCCTGCGTAGGAATAATTTTCATTTGATTAATAATAAGTGAGCGGCCAAAGAAATAAAAAAATGTATGTTAGCAAATCAGAAATGCAGAAAGTACTAAAGAACCCACTAGATTAACTTGGATTGCTTGCATGTTCCTTCGGCTAGTTCCTTGAACACGGAAAAGAGAAGCCTTTTTCTCATCATATTCTTCCACTTTGTCTGCCTTCTCTGCTAGAAACACTTTGTACCGTCTGCTCAAACCACCCTTAAAAACAACCAGCGACTGGAACATTGGGAAAAAACGAGAAGGTTCGTTTCCCTGATATATATGACACTGGATGAAGAATGTTGAATGAAACGGGTCAGTAGAATTACAGTTTTGAGCCAAAAGGAAGAGGAAAGTAGACATATGATTGTTTTTCCGGCTCTAGCTAGGAACTAACCAGTACAGATTCACCCTTTATTGAACCAACAATAGCACTAGCATTTGTTATGGCATCAGCTCTATCTTCCTGAAATAATGTTAAAAAAAAAAATGAAGTTCATAGTGGAACAACTCACAAATGATTGACAATAGTCAAAGGCTA